TCTTCAGTGATATATATAGTATTATATGTATATTTTTCATTTATTATTTTGTCATATTTAGTTTGTATTTATTTGACACCTTGTATACGCTTATGTTTTCTCGGACATTATATTGCAGCCTTGCAACGAAATTTCAGTCGAGGAAACAAGCGCAAGCATCGTTTGTTTACAAACTTCCGATGACACACGTACACAGACCACACGTCAGTGTAGTGAGTCACCACTACAAACAAATGCGTACACACGGACCTACGCGGTATAGGTCCGTAGGCTGCGCCGATAATGTCATTTCATTTTTAGTACCATCGAAATGATGGCGCTTTCGCGTCGGAGTTCGCCCGTCACTTCGGCATCCTCTTAAAGACCCATTTACACCCAATTATGTTATGATTTTTAGGTAAAGGAACTAGAGACCACGTGTCATTCTTCTGGTGAGCTTCAAGCTCTTCTTTAATCGCCAATTTCCATTGACTCGCATTTTCCCCTGTAGTTGCCTCGATATATGTTACCGGTTCATTAAAAATTGCTACACTCGCTTCATAACGACCCGGCGCTTTTATTAACTGTCGGTCTCTTAGATTGTACGCGTCATTATGCTCGGCCTGTCTTAAATCTTCCCTTTCGTTGATTAACTCTAATTGATCGTTTTGTACATTCTCGAAAAGCTCAGTTATATTTTCGTCCTCAGTTATATTTGCAATTTTTATTGATGTTTTGCCGGATTCTGTGTCTGGTTTATTGTCGGATATTTCGTTAATTATGACGTCCCTTGTTACTATTATTTTGTTTGTTGATACATCAAAGAGCCGACAGTTAGTAGATTTGCCTTGATATCCTACTAAAACTAATTTATTCGATTTAGGATCCCATTTCTTTCTATGCTCTTTAGGCACATACGCGAACGCGTCACTTCCAAATTTTCGTATGTGTGACAAATCAGGCTTTCTATTATACCATTTTTCGAAGGGAGTAATGTCACGCGATTGCGAAGAAATGCAACGATTTAGTATATATACGGCTGTGTTCACAGCCTCAGCCCAAAGACGTGTAGGTAGATTTTTGGCGTGCAACATTGTGCGAGCACATTCTACAATTGT